TCTAAGTGTTGCTTCCGGATCGTCAAAAGGTGGAATCAGTGGTGTGCCTCCTCCCCTGGTCATAAACGTTCTGCAAACAAAAAGAAAGACACGCGTAAAAAGAACAAAAGAAAATTAATAACGAGAATTTTATGTTCAGCGATGGACTCGTCGAGTCTGTTCGAAGGGACTCGGAGAGTCGATTGCAAAAACAGCAAAATTTTTGAACAAAATTTCCTAAAACTACTAACTAAGGTGCAATCCTATGCTAAATCTAATAAAAACAGTAACCTTGTGCAAGAAAAATCTCACACAATGGATCGATAACAATAGTAATCAATTCAAAGTTGGAACCGTTCCCCGGCAACGGCGCCAAAAACTTGATGTGCATAAAACGAACTAGTTTTAATCCTACTTATAAAATCTAATTTTAATCACACAAAGGCAGTGGACCTGTCTAATGGTGGTATAGTTCTAGTAAGCAGGGTATCGAACTCAGGGAACGGCAATTTAAACTAATTACTAAAATTATCTAATAACCACTAACAAATAATAAAAGAGAAGGTTTTCTCTAGTTTTACAAGACTAGAAACTTACTACTTAATACTTAAACTAATTAACTGAAGACTAGATAAGCAAAAATTAGACTAAATTCAATAATTAAGGAGACTTCTATTTAGGTTCAACTCAATTGATCCTATGGTTGATTTTGTGGTAATAGTGCAATGGATTAACTCTTTTATTGGCTACCGATTCAGGTGATTAGGTTCACATTCGCTACACTAATCCTTAGAAAACAAACTAACTCAAACAGTGGCCAGTTGTCTAAATTAATTTAATTCCCTAGGTTATTTATTCGGGTTAATTAAGACTTGTTGTGGTTAACTAATTTGGTCCTTTAGTTAACCTCTTGTTGATGGTCATCACACAAGCTCACACGTAAATTTACTTATTTTCTTATTAACTCTAGTTTCACATTCGCTAATCCTAGTCATATAATAAAGTGTTCACATAAATTATACGAGGTAAACAATTAAGAGATGTTCATGCAACTTAATTATCTTCCTATTAACATAAAAATAGTTTTCATTCACACATAAGGTTCTTTAACAAGCTTAAATTAACGAAATCACCAATATTAAGCTAATCCTACCATAAATCAAACCATAATCTCAACATTGTCTCCCCAAACAGAAGCTATAAAAGTTTTAGCTCATGATTAAGGTAAAAACGAACTCAAACACAGATTCTAAAAGCTTAAACATAATTAAAACTAAAGATCTAAGTAAAGAGTTATGATTTGTGCCTTAATTCTCCTTTGAAATTGGATCTAGGGTTGGATCTTCACTCTCCAGGTCTCCTCTGGCTCTTAATCGCAGCTTCTCTCCCCCAACGGTTCTCTGGAAAAAACGTGAATCGATCTGAGGGTCTCTTTTTATAGATTCGACCCGACTCGTCGAGTCCAAGACTGACTCGTCGAGTCCATCGTTAAATTCCCGTGTACGGCAAGTCAAGGATTCCTCAACTTCGCGAATCTTCGTAGCGACTCGTCAAGTCCGTGCCAGACTCGGCGAGTCCCCTGTGGTTTTTGGTCTTTTCTTCTTTTGATCATTCCAAAACTTTCCGATGGTTACTCGTGCTTCTTTTTGCTTCCGATCATTCCTTTTGGACTGAAAACACAATTCAAACACTTTTAAGTATCTTTTGTCCATATTATGCAAATAAATAGCTAATAAATGATAAAAATCAATATTAAATAAAGGGCTAAATATCCACATATCAGTAGTCATGGATCGTTTCACAAAGAGTGCACACTTCATAGCAGCCAATGAGAAATGGTCTATGGATAAGCTTGCAAATGCTTACATGAAGGAGATAGTAAGACTTCACGGTGTACCATTAATGATTGTATCGGATCGTGACAGTCGTTTCACATCAAGATTTTGGAAAAGTCTACAAGAATAAATGGGTACGAAATTGTGTTTAAGTACAACTTACCATCCCCAGACTAATGGTCAGAGTGAAAGGAAGATTCAAACATTGGAGGATATGTTGCAAGCATGTACTTTGGAATTTCCAAGTAACTGGCATGAGCACTTAACACTAGTGGAATTATCCTACAACAACAGTTATCATTCAAGCATTAAGATGGCACTCTATCATGCGTTGTACGGACAGAAGTGTCGTACGCCATCTTGTTGGCTTGAAGCTAGAGAAAAGCAGTTTATGGGTCCTGAGATATTCCATCAAATTGTTGAAAATTGAAGGTGATCAAAGACAAAATGTTAGCAGCTCCAAATCATCAAAAGTGCTACACAGATAAGAAAACGATGACCAATAAGTTTCTAAGTTTGAGATTTGGTATTGCTCAAAGTCTCACCGTGGAATGGACTTATAAGATTTGGAAATAGAGGAAAGTTGAGTCCAAGGTTTATTGGACCATTCAAGGTATTGCTCAAATTCTCACCGTGGAAGGGACTTATAAGATCTGGAATTGCCAGTTGAACTAGAAGGCATCCATAACACCTTTCATGTGTCGTGCCTAGCATGTGTCGTGGCTACACGTGCAACTAAGTTTAGCCAAGTCTAGAACCGCCTCCAATTTTGACAGTTGTCACAAGTTAGACTAACCTTGGTTATGTTTTCATAGTTATTGTTTGTTTGTCCTTTGTGTGTTTTTAACACCTCTTGTTCTTATTATTTAATTAAGTCTTGATCATGAAAATGTGTACACTTATTTTGATATCTCAATATTCGCAATAAATGACAAAGCATAATGCTAATAGAAAGATTTGAACTTGATCCTTAAATTCTATAATTTCCTTAAGTTATTATAAAGAGCTGCAAAAGACTTAAAACCTTTATTGTTAACAACAGACTTCAAATCATATAATTCCATAGGTCACAACACCAACATTTGTCTATGGAGCTTCGTAGTCAAAGTCAGTGATAATGATTTAGAGCATTTTTTCAACATAGATAACTAGACATATCTAAAAATATTGTGTAAAAATATCATGATATATACATATTTACAGTCAACTTATATATGATAATTATAAAAAGTTTTGAATTTATCGATATTTTTCTAATGAACATGAACATAAACCTATTGGTAATTATGATGACTAAATAATTGAATTCACTAGGAAAATATAGGGTAACTTTTATTCATCACAATAGAGATTTAATGTTCTAGAAAATGAAGATAAAAACAAGGTGAAATTACAATAGAGGCTAAAAAAATCTTGGCATGCTTTCTGATGCTTCATCATATCATATGAATAGCCACACAGTTTTCCTTGTCTATGTAACGCTCGCGTTTCCTGTTTGGCATAATTATAAAATATGTATTTACATCGATCGACGATTGTAACCTTTTAAGAATAAGTGAAAGATAATTATTCGAGTATATGTTATATGCGTGGACATTTGACAAATATTATGTGTATATAATATTTGTGTAAAAAAGTTTAAAAAATAAAAAGATTATTTAGGATAAATAATCTTAACGAAAGTTGTAACGAACCTAAAATTTCAAATTATATGTTATAAGATGTATTTGGTCTAAATACATTTAAGGGTGAACCCAAGTAGTGAAACGATAATTTTTTTTCCGTTACACCCGTTTTTCGATAATAATTGACCGAGTACTTTTTACGGCGTTAGTTATTGATTATAAATTTGGATAAGATTTTGTTATAAAGGGTATAATGAAGGATATATTGTGTTAATACAAGAATAACTGAGTGACCATAAATGTAGCTATAATTGATTTGTGAATTGCAAACCAACATCCATGTAAGAAATATAAGAAAGGTCGTACATATTTTATTAATTAAAAATAACACGTGTTGTTTAAATATGTGATCGTACAACTTCATTTAATAAAAAGGTATACGTGTTACTTTTACAAGATGACTAAGATAATTATAATGGTACATACGTGTCCAAATTTATGCTACATGTTGATTTTGATAAGATTGGGGATCACGTTTCATCATGGGTATAAATAGGATGATTTTTTATATATATATTTCGCAACATATAATTAACATAAATTAGAAAGAAAGACTAGAAGATATTTTGAAAAAGGGAAATTTCAGCTAATAAGAGATCGGGAAGTTACTCTGAGAACTAATTACGATCTGTATTACACTTGTTATATCAGGTGAGTGCATAGTTACTTTCATCTTACACATAGATATGAAGTATTTAATATAAATTACGTGTTATGTGTGCATATTATCTGTGTTCTTCATATTTATGTTGAATGAACAAAATATACATGTTTTATTTGATTTAAACTGTACATGTATTTTATACCTATAATTATGATGGGTAAAGATGGGTAGATGATATAGATGATGAAATAAATGATGAGTGATGAATTAAAATGATGAGAGGCCTCGATGTTTAAGCTGACTTAGTCATCTAGACAGTCTAGTGGAACGCTGGTAGACTCGCAACCTGTAGGTGTTTGTGAACGATGTGTTCACCGGTGTACTCCATCCCCCTCATGGTTGCCTTATATATATTGCTGAGGAATCCCCTAAGCAGTATTGTCATCCCGATGATGATCCTTATGTTAGGTCCCTTAATTTAGATGTTTTAGGGACAGAAAATGAGGATAACGGGAACGGGTAACCGGGTTGATTGATTGATGAAATTAATAAATTTAATTAGAATAATGATGTATTGACCATGACATCCCAAGCCGGACCCACTCAGTTTCTTTGTATCACAAGTAGCGGCACAAGAGCACAGATGTGATGAGTTTAATATGGAGAGAGATTTAAAGGAGAATAAGCCATTAGAATAATGATCTATTGTAAGGCCTGTAATATTACATTTATGCTTATGTTGATGTATTGACCATGACATCCCAAGGTTTTTAAATATAAATGAAATACATTTCCTCGCAAATGCTTTGATAATGAAATTGTCGTATTTTTTGGAACAAATTCCGCATTATTACTCTTTTGAAAAGAATACTCTAATTTAAATAAGTATAAACAAATCTGTCTTTTCTGGCCGTGAAATTGGAGATGTCACAGTCTATTAGTTATATATGATTTTTGATGACTCTGATTCACATTGTCCAAACCATTCCATATATGCCACTATATAACAAAAGATGACACCCGCACTACATCATGTTATGCCCTTTAGATACACTTGATAGGGGAAACTAGACAAGGACATAAGACAAACTTCTCAGCCATCAGAATCCGTCTCATGAAATGGTAAAGGAACATTTTTCACTGCTCTAAACTTTCCAACATTATTTAAGTGCTCATTTTCCAACCTGTATCATATAAAAAAATTTAAAATACATGATACCTTCCAACTAATATATAACTTAACGAAAAAATAGTACAAACTATATGAAAACGCATATGTATCTTACCTATAGTAATTCCAATGCCCACGACGAATCACTTCTAACGAAGCAAGAGAAAACTCAAGCAAGCGTGATTCAAACAATCCAACTTTGAATTGCAGTACTATTTCTAACCAAGCGACCCTCAAAACAAAATTCAATGCCTACATATATATACAAAGATTTTGGTATTTCAAGTTATAAACCTGTTAAAACGTAAAAATTTTAACAAAAACGTGATACTTAGTGATATAAAACTTACAATGGCTGTGTAGTAAAATCCTTTTTTCTTAAGAACAAGTTCATCTCGAAGCCATTTGTTTTTTGAATCAAGATCAAGAAGTCCCCAGTCCTTGACAAAGTCCCAGTATAGCTGGTATACGGTGGCAAACAAGGAAGTCACCAAAACAATTATCAACCACAATTGTGTTTCTTGCCTTGCATAAGTTAACTGTGCCCCAGCTGCTATCATGGCTGACACATACTTACCCAAGTTAGCCAAGTGGTTAACGTCACACTCGTCAAACCATCTCCTCGTACAGTGTATATCCCAAAGTATTTAAGTTATCCATGTTGGGCGTATTATAAAATGGTAATTAAAATATTTTGGAATTCATATATATATATATATATATATATATATATATATATATATATATATATATATATACACCTGCATAGCACGCCAATAGTAAGGAGCAAAAGAGATTACATAAGCAAGCTCTGGATATAACTTCCCTGCTTTACAAGTATGAAAATGATGTGTTTTAAAACTTCCTGCAAGGAAATAACATGTTGTTGATTCCATATGCCTCAACAACGGGATCTGTAATAAATACATAAATAAATATAACAACTTTAACACCAGAAAATGTAAGATAACGATCCTAGAACATATATTTCCACCATATTAGAATATTTACCTGACTAGTAAGTTGATCTCCCATAAAGAAATCAATCATCAAAACCTACGTTTTTCCAAAAAAAAAATCATTATGTTGTTGTATACATATTTAATTTAGCTGCCATAGTTTAGGTGATAAATTGTGTAAATTAGGATTACCTTGTATAAAGGAGAGTAGATGATGTTTCGTATGACTCTAAGGAAACAGTAACGAGTTGGGCGGTAAAACATGTTCAATGGACATACAAGTATTCCAATGTATATCTAAATATCAAATTGAATATAAGAATAAGAACTAGAATCTTTTAAAAATATTGGTCGATGTAACTAGTCAAGGTAGTAAGTTTACCAAGAAAAGAATGCTCGGAATAATGTCAACTTGATTAGGTGAAAATCCATTTGAAACCAAAATGAGATGTAGTACCATGGCAGAAACCACTGTAGTCATCATGCATGTACAAATGAGAAATGCATCTCTATACTTGAGTGTTGTACCATCTTGGAATTCAAATATGAAGTTGTAATTAATCCTTGTCACCTTCCACATGAAAAGGTTGCAGCCATACATAAACATATGCAAGCTCAACAGTGCAAACATGCTGCATCAACATTTTACCAAGCAAACATAAGTATTTAATTGTTTTTTGTTATGGAAATTCATTCTTTACTTTACTTATCTAGTGAGAATATATATATATATATATATATATATATATATATATATATAATACTAAACAAGCATGTACATTATTATACCTGAAGACGGGGTAGATAGTTTCAACATAGTTAGTTTGTGTACCATGGGAGAACATGCCACTAGTATGTGCCAATATTGCATATAGAGAGAAAAGGGTTATAAAACTACCCGTAAACAGTCCTGACACAACAAAATAAATGTCATTATCTAGTTTTGTTGCTTGATGTTGTCATGTTAATTATTTTTCTAACTAGTATTATGAAGATAGTTGATAAGAGGTTCAATACCAACAAAGAACGTGACCATGTGAGAGTCTTTTGGTTGACATGGCCTCAAAAATTTCATCGCCTTTTTCCTGTCATCCTTGGCAAAGTGTTTAGTGAAAGAAGATTCCACCTCATCCATTAATTTTACCACCTAAAATTCATAATTCTTTATTATCAAACATTATATCCACAAGGCTTGAAACTCAATAAAAATCAATTAATTGTCACATCACCATTTTATTTTAAATACAACTTTATGATTTTTCCTATAATGCATTGAATTTTATAGATACTTACTTGACTCGTCTACTCTAAGATCAAAAAAGTTTCATTTTTTTCCATTGAATAGTTTAATGGCGAGTGAACACCACCTCTATATTGAAGGCAAACGTGAAACCCCAGTTAAATTTTATCCATTAAATTCCATGTAGGCATTCCATTTCATTTAAATATTTTATTAAAATATGAATTGCGATGTTCTAAAAACACCATGTAGTTTGTGGTTCTAAAGAAAAAAACACTGATGTGTTTGAAAACATGTAAATTGCTCATTATGGATTCATTTGTCAAGAAGTATTAAAATTTGGTCTTAAAAACACCAAACATGACTATAACATTTTGAATTAAGAAGAAAAACAATTTAAGTAAGGAGTGATATATTAATCAGAAAAGCAAATTGGTGCATAAAGAAACAAATTGGTGCATAAATAATTATAAATGATCACCTTGTTAGACGGATCATGATTTATCTTTTCAATTTTAGTTTAATTAATTAATGTAAAGTTGACCATGTCTTTTTTTAGCCAATAAAGTTAGAAATTTTTTTTATCAATTTCTCTAAGAGCATCTATAATATAGTGAGTTTTTCATATAGTTTTTAGACCACCTCCAATCCTTAACATTATTTTTTTTATATTATACCTATAATTATAGTGTAAAAGATAGTATAAACACTAAAGTCCTCGACGCATTAAACTATATTTAACACTAAAGAGAATATTCTAGGTATATTGTTCTTTATTTAACATTATATTTAAAGTTACACTAAAATTGAACACTATATATAGTGTTAGGTATAGTGTAGGATTGGAACATTATAGGGTAAAAAGGGTAGGGTTGGAGATGCCTTTAATGTCATTTTATCACCTGGTCAAAAATCTAAAAAAATTAACATACCTCTATTATATGAGAGTTTTTTTTCACATAACTTATATATATGAGATACTCATTTTAACTTTTACAATTATATTTTTTTTAAATAAATTGTTCTAGTTAATAATGTTTTTATAATAATTAAAATCACCATAATCACCCAAAAGCTCTCAGCAATTTGTAAAAGCATCTCCCACTATAAAGATCAGGCTTTTCCAAAATGAAAAAATGCTTTAAAAAACTCTTATTGTAGATAAGAAAAAGTTTTTCACGACTGTGGGGAGCTATTATTGTTTTGGTTTTTTTTTCTAAATTCGTGCTAGCCCATTGAATATCTTCGACAGTTCAAAAAGAAAAACTGTATGGAGCAATTGCATCAATATATGGACATTTTTTCAAACCTATAAAAACTTGATACGACCCTGTTACATAAAGTAAACAGTTTTGAAGGACTGCTGAAGATTTATGTTATATAATTAAAGTAAAAAGGAGTGATTGTAACAAGTAAGCTAATATTAAAGCACAAATAAAAGAGAATGTATAATTGGTTTTAATCACTTGATTTACCTTATCAGAACTAATGAAATGAGATCTTTTGACAGCTTTTAGATAAGTTGCCGAAGACTGTCGATTAGAAACCTATTAAATTAAAGGGAAAAAAAAACAGTCGGAGTCAAAATTTTATCAAAATTAATGCGTCACAAATATTGTTTATATGGTTACCAACATGAAGCTTTGTCGACTTACCTTGTCAAATTTCTTCAGTATTTTCACAAATGCCACCATATTCAGAGAGCTGCAAAAAAATTCATTTGATCAGAAATTTATATGCCTATAGTAAATAGAAAAGTAAACATTTTGATGTTGCATTTTTAACATAAGAAACCGAAGTTTCTTATTTTAACAATGATGAATATATGTAAATAGTTAATTTTGTAAATTAGAGAAAAGATGCATAATATTAAGGGAAGGGAAGTGATTGACTGATTGTATACAACAGTTTTTCGTCATAGACAAATAAGGCAAAAAATTATAACATTTTTTGATGGCATGTCCACTATATATGAATCTTTGTTTATTAGCTCCTAATATATTATTTTACAAGTAATAGTTACATGTGCCATTATCATCATATAGTGATGGAAGCCTGGCGGTTGATGTTGTAGAATTCCATAAAAAAAGGTTTAATTAAGACTCGAGGTTTGGTAGCCAAGAATATTGCTAGCTAGTGAATTGTAATTTACCCCCAACATGATGAGTCGTGGACGGTTTCAGCATGGGTAGAGTGTGCGACTTACCCCTTTTTGTATGTGTAATTTTTATATATGCATGTAATTTTTACGAACGAGAACAATACGTACCTATACGTCTTTAATAGACCAAGACCTCTATAAAGTTCCACAAAAGCCCCTCTGATCATTTTTTCCGCGCATTGGAGCTTCTTGCGATTGACGTATTCACTTGGTCCACCTTCTTTCTTAGGATTGTTTACTAGATCTTCCCATAGCATTGATGTTACTGCTGTTATGGTTCTTGTAGGGGTGGTTGCTGGAATATCGATTCGCATGGCCACTTTAGGCTTTCCCTTTTTAGTCTTTCCTCTAGTAGCAGCACCAGCAAGTAGGTTGATACCATTTTTTTCTACAGCTGAAATCACATCATTTGTCTGTGTCCCCTCTCCAAGCCTTTCTGCAAACTCCGTGGGAGTTTCTGCATGCCAAATTTCAATAATTCAATTCATTTAGATCGGTTGCTAATCAATAGATAGAGCTAGCAGCATAGATCATTTTTTTTAGAAATACCCGAGCTATTAATTAATTAAATCTTGATTTAATATTTTTAGATATGATTCTTTCTTAAGAAAACACTATATATAAAGTATGCGCTTTAGTTAGCGACATTAATTAATTAATTAATTAATTATACAAGATTACAAGGTGCGATCGTGTGTAGGATCGAGCATTCTTTTAATTAATTTCCTGGAAATTAAAAAGGCCACTATTTAAGGAAGTTGAAGAAAATGGGAAATTGTGGTACTATTTTGGTTACCGGAGTCAGAGTCAGAGGTACGGCCAGACGAGTAAGAGCGGATGAGTCGGGAGGAGGTTGCGGATCGTGAGAAATTAAACCTGCCTGAAGATTGTCTCCGGCAACCAAGAACTTGCTGGAGGTCAAATAATATTTGGAGCTGTTTATTCAGCATTTCTCCTCTCTCAAGGAACTCGCTTTCTTTATTGGTATAAAACCGGTTCACCTTATCCAATTCCTCATCCAATTTCTCAAAGAACACCTTCAACTACGTACATGATTAATTGAATGATATAATAACCAAAATAAGTTTTTTATTTTTGCCAAAAATAAAACTAGAAATTAATCAACTTTACGTAATCTTACCTCGTCTTCCTCCGAGTTCAAATGCTCAACAAGTTCAGCGTCATCGTTTTCATCTTCACCTGATTCATCACCTTGTTCGGAAAGAGTGTTTTTCACCTATAACATGACACGTGGAACATCTATTTATAGCAATCATAACTATCAAGGAAACAATTCATATAATTATGTATTTTTGTGTACTGGTATGCCATGTGTTATATATCTTTTGGATCACGATACCATCGTGAATTAAGGAGCAGTGACAACCGTTTTTATTGGCTTTTAGTCCCCAAAAATAGTCAATTTCATGAAAATTAAGCCTTTGCAAACGCCATCTCACCGCTTCCTTTTATCAATTACAACTACATTCACCACAACTTTAACTCTCAATATATGTTTCGTCTCACACCCTCAGACACAGTAACTAATGTTATTATTGAAAATACACACATACTCCATGTGAAAAAAGAGTGGGTAAACCAAAAAAGTAATTATGTTTTGCAAAATATATCCTTCAAAAAATTAATTAATGTCATCTATTTATCTATCACTTAATGGAAAATGAGTAAACTGAATAGTCAATGAGATTTTATGTGTAACGTAACCAAATCCACAGCAGAATGCAAAAACACATCTGGTTCAATGGTAAAAAAGAAAAAAAAAATCGTGAACGCATGATGACACAAAAACCATGAAGAAGACATGCACCAAAAGTATTTTCTTTTCAAATTTCAACAGTACTAGCTTGCAAGCATTAAAGTAGATAGACACATGTTTTTTTCATTTTTAACATTTCAATTCGTAATTAATTAGCAAAAGCTTCACCATCTTCCGATGGCTATTACATTTCCTTGTAAATTGTAATTAGCATACCTGAAGAATCTGATCCGGTTGGTGATTGGTGACACTAGATGAAAGATGGCGAAAGAAAGAGCAAACAGGGTCGAATATAGAGATGCCATAATCATGACTACAAGTTGTTTGTGAAAGCTTCAACATCCTTGATAGTTTAACCTTCTTAACATGTTTCTTGAGCTGCCAATAATTGACAAATGCATCTTTCCATTCAGGGATGAGTTGGGCTTCAAGCTCTTTAGAGAACTTCACCATTCTTTAAGTACCAGAATCTCCACCTGGTTATTAGGAGAGAGAGAGAGAGAGAGAGAGAGAGAGAGAGAGAGAGAGAGAGAGAGAGAGAGAGAGAGAGATGAGTTAATGGGGGATGAGTGGCCGGATGGGTGCCAAATATGTAGCTAGAAGAAAGATGGTTTAACAAGCAATGACTTGAAAGGCTTCTATATATCTACTAAAGCCAAAAATGGAAAATTAATTATAAAAAAAAATGAAAATGAAAATGGCTGATGAAGAGGAAATTTGTCTGTTTCTGTGACTGTGCGTTTGGTTGTGGAAAATTTTCTAGTTTTCTAGGAAAAATTTCTATGAAAAACAGAAAATTTGAAAACGCGTTTGGTTCGTTCAGTTTTCCAAAATTTTCCAGGAAAATGAAAATTTTCAGTTTTTCAAATTGTATGTAAAATAGAAAAGTGACTTTTAATTTTTTCCAAAGTTTCCAAATTTATAAGATGGAAAATGAAAACTCCCCCGGTTTCAACCAAACGTGTTTTCTAAAATTTTCATTGAAAATTGAAAATAAAAACTAAACTCTATTTTCTGAAAACATTTTCTTAGAAAATGAAAACAATCTTCCACAACCAAACGCACCCTTAGGGTGCATTTGGTTGTGGAAAATTTTCTAGTTTTCTAGGAAAATTTTCCAAGATAAACGGAAAATTTGAAAACGCGTTTGGTTCGTTCTGTTTTCTAAAATTTTCCAGGAAAAAAAAATTCAGTTTTCCAAATTGTATGTAAATTAGAAAAGTGACTTTTACTGTTTTCAAAAGTTTTCCAAATTTATAAAATGGAAAATGAAAACTCCCCCGGTTTCAACCAAACGCGTTTTCTAAAATTTTCATTGAAAATTGAAAATGAAAACTTAACTCTATTTTCTGAAAACATTTTCTTAGAAAATGAAAACAATTTTCCACAACCAAACGCACCCTTAAACTTCCTTCTCTTCTCTGTTCTTTGATTTACTTCCAGATTCATGTTAATTAATGGAGAATGCAGACTCCACTTTCAATTGCATTTCCACAACCTTATTCTTCTTCCGTTATTATCTTTTTATGTATTATTATATGCATTTCTTAAATTTATCCTATAATGGAGGTCACGTAACTTCAAGGATTGCTTGTAAAAAAGTTTCATATCAATACTTTTTTACCTTCTATTAGTGGAAAAGACTCCTAAAGTTATTAACATTGCACGTACCACCTATATTTTGACAATCATATTTAAGCTACTCGGTACCTGCTCGGCCGACTACCGATGTAACACCCGGTTTTGAAAAGTACATCAGTTGCGGGTTCGGAGGCCCAGGGTATAAGCGATTCGGTCTTTTATGGGGTTCTCGGGTTTATCCGGAAGGTTTTAGTCTTGGGAGTGTGGCTAGGAGCGTAGGGCTTCCCGCCACCTTTTCATCGATATCAAGTTCGTCGGAAACGGACTTAGAATGAAGGAGTTATGGCATTTTGAAGTTATTGTCAATTTTAGCCCCTAATGGAGTTTTGTGACAACGCAGCCCATGCATGCCAGGAATGCATGCGTGTGTTTAGCTGGGTACGCCCAGCGTAAGTTGGGTTACGCCCAGCGTATAAGGATTTATGGTCGCGGGTGCGGAGAGGCGGACGCCCAACGTACGCTCAGAGTCCCTAAACCCTAATTTTTAGGGTTGGCTCACTATTTAAAGCACCTTAAGTCCAAGGGGTGCGCCTCCCTTTCATTCTCAGAGCCTTAAACCCTAATTTCGAGTGGTAGCTTCATCTAAGAGTGTTATGAGCTTTGTGGGTGCATTTTAGGTGGTTTGTGGTGCATTTCAAGAAGTTGGAACTTGTTGCAAAGATGGGAATCAAGGAGGAGCTTGTGGATCTAGCATTAGGGACTCATTCTCAGCTTGATGAAGGTATAAAGCTTTGATCTTGATCTTTCATCTCTTAGATCTACCATTGTGAGTTTTAGTTCATTTTGGTCCCAAGGATGGAACTTTATGGTTGAAATCCGATTCTTAGGCTTTGAGTCGCCACTCTCAGTGTTAGATGAGTCCCTAAGGCAGAAAGTTGCCATCTTGGAGGTCTTTATGGGTTCATGAATGAGTTAAGACCATTTCCATGGAATTAGTTTATCATTTTTGGAGTTTGAGCTTATGTGGGTCATGCAAAGCCATCAAGTAAGCAACTTTATGGTTTTAGACGTTAAAGAGGACTTGGATCTGTGATTGTAGCTTCTGGATCTGAGTATTAAGCACTTAATGGGAAAACGACCTAGGCTGTGTTTGGCGCGCCACAGCTAGCTGATAAGCTAGCTTATTTTTCCAGCTTTTTTATGTTGTCGTGTTTGACAAGCCAAAAAGTAGCTTATAAGCTAGCTTTTTGAAAAGCTACTTAGACTAGTTTTTAGGAGCTTTTTTAAAATTTTCCAAATACACCCCTTAATTAATTATAGAAACACATACTCATACATGTCCTTTTATGTAATTTTATATATTTCAGCTAGCTTTTCAGCTAGTTTTACCAAACGTTATTTTTTATCAGCTAGCTTTTCAGCTATCAGCTAGCTTTTTATTTAACAGCTAGCTTTTCAGCTATCAGCTAGCTTTTCAGCTAGTACGCCAAACATAGCCTTAATAAGGGAGTACGCTCAGCGTACATGCAGGTACGCCCAGCGTACACACCATTTGGCTAGTACGCTTAGTGTACAAGGGAGTACGCCCCGCATACTCGTCAGTATTGGGCTTGGAGTGTTTTGGGCCTCGGTTTGGGCCAGGCAGTGGAATTTGGGCCTTTAGGCCTTAGTGGACCATCAGTAGTCAGATGCTTTGGGCCAGGAATGTGTTTGGGCTTAAGGAAAGGCCCATTAGAGGGGTTGGGCTCAATTTGGCAAATTGGGCCATTACTGGGCCACTAGTGGGCTTGGAAAGCCTACCTAGTGTTGGGCTTTTGTTTTGGGTTTGGGCCTAAGTTTGGATCGTACTGGGCCAGGGGTAGAATGGTCATTTTACCCCATGCATGGATTAAGGATTATGGTATGGGACCCAACTGCTAATTGGGTATATTGATTAGTAGTGACAGCTCGGGAAGCTGGCGGGGCAACAGCTAAGGAATTCATGCGGGAAGCTTCTGCAGTGCGAGGTGAGTCTTCTCACCATACCAATGGGTCTAAGGCACCAAGGCCGGCCCATTTTATGATAGTTGGTATATTTGTTGTGTAGAGGTGTGTAACTTAAATATGTGATAATATGCAGTAGAGATAGCCTTTGTGGCTAATGGTAAAGATAGCCTTTATGGATAACGGTTGAGACAGCCTTTGGCGCTAATGGTAGAGATAGCCTTTGGGGCTAATGGTAGAGATAGCCTTTGGGGCTGACGGTAGAGATAGCCTTTGAGGCTAATAGTAGAGATAGCTTGATAGCTAATTGATATGTGATACGTGGTAGAGGTAGCTTTTATAGCTAATGGATATGTGATATGTGGTAGAGGCAGCTTTTGTAGATAATTGATCTGTATTATGTGGTAGAGGTAGCTTTTATAGCTAATTGATAGGTGGTATGCGGTAGAGATAGATTTTATGGCTAATATGATATGTGTTATGTGGATTGTGTGTGGGGTATGCTCTGGGGGACTCACTAAACTTTGTGCTTACGGTTTACAGTTTTGGTTTCAGGTATCAACGTTTGGAAAAGAAGAGCTCGGATTGATCGCAGTGCACACATCTATGATTTCCACAATGAATGATTTTGGGATGAACTCTGATAAATGTTTTACTTATAGATGATTTGAAATGTTCGATATAAATGATATTAATGTTTTAGCTATATTAAAAATGAAATTTTTACCCTTGATTTTTGGGTCGTTACCATTTGGTATCAGAGCCTTGGTTTGAGGGATTCGGACATACTTTCAGGTGTGTCTAAACTCAGACTGAGGATCAGTAAAGATTTCAAAAGAAAAATGTTTTAAGTAAAGAATTGCTAAGACAAGAAAGGGTGTGGTGCATGCAATCAGCCGAGCTCGAGTAAGTTTCCCCAGAATACTGACAATTGTTATCTGTTATGATTTGATTATGAATCTATGAATCGCATGCTAGTTAGGGCTAGGGGATATGCATGTATATGTTGTATGAGTTGGTAGACTTGCATGCTAGTGCTGCGTAGTCAGCAATAGATTGGCATGATATGTGGTGCTTGTAGCCATGAGGATATTGGATGTCATGCTGGAATGAGAATGATAGTTGGTATTTGTACTGCAATGTGTATGTTTTGAAAATTGTATACGGTTAGGATCTTATAGCCTTAGAATAGCTGATTTGACCTTATTTCCTGTGGTCTTAGGGTAGAGTCTATTATTCGACAGTCTATTAGATCCTGTTTTGTGTATAATTTGCATGCATAAGGCAGCCGGCAGCGAGGGTGGATGTGGACAGCATGGGTTGTGGTAGATGGGTCGGATGTTCTATGATAGTTTGTGGGTCAGAGATTACCCTAGGGGAAGCTTAGGATGAGGTTAGCGACAGGTGTTACCTGCTTGCAGGATGTATGTGTGGATAGACTGATTTGTCTAGTGTATGCTGGTCAGATTTACTGATTACCTGAATGTTGCTTGCTTTGTGCTTTGTAGGACTTTTATTAATGTGAGTTAGCTATTAAGTGAATATGCTAAGTCATATGTAGCACAGACTGGATAATCTCATAGTGATGGACTTGACCCTATTACGCAGCTCTCGTCTGAGTCTAACCGTTCTAGGGATGAGTCTTTTACTTGAAGGATTATCTGATCTCTGCTACATGTGGCTATATTCATGAGGTAGCTAGTTGACATTAATGGGAATCTTTTAGCAGCTGAGGGCAGGGTGAGGTTGGGGACCTAGGAAAGCCTAGGATATGCTCTAGTGAGCTCAGTGGGGTGGTTCGATGAAGTTGGGAGCCTAGGAGGTGATACAGTAGAGATTGTTTTGCTGTTTAGCAAACATTTAGTATATCTATGGAGTAAGTGACTCAAAAGATTGAGGACGATTGCTGAGGAAAGTATGGATAGGTGTGGAAGGTA